AATGGATTGGATTTATATAGCACTTTTCAAGGCACCCAAAGCGCTTTACAATGCCACTATTCATTCACTCTCACATTCACACACTGGTGGAGGCAAGCTACAGTTGTAGCCACAGCTGCCCTGGGGCAGACTGACATGTGGAACAAGTAAAATGCTGTGAATACTTTCCAGGCGCACTGTATCAAAACCTCAGTATTCACATGGGTTTCCTAATTGCTGTGCTGGTGCTGGAGTAAACCTTATTTACTTGAATTGATTTCAATACATCTTGCAGTAATTTGCAACCTCATTCAACAACACTCATATCTGCAAGTTACTTTAGTTGCTTTTTTGCCATTTTTGCAGTTAACCGCAGACATAACAAGCAACTTTAGGCCATATTGTTTTCTTTTTTAACTACTGAGTCTGTACTAACATCAACCCCCCTGTGACAAGTCTGCTCACTGGCAGCCCAGGTTATGTGTTAGTGACTAACAGTTAGTCAGTCCGTCTCTGTACTAACAAGCAATCCAAGAAATGCTTTTCTAGCAAGGTCTGATAACTGCCATTTATTTAGAAGTTACATGACTAACTGTGTAATTCTGTTTGGTGCAATATTTTTTTGTATGTATGACACAGACAGTCTCTTTTTTGTATTATACTTCTGTCATAACCTCATGTGACATGTTTGTTTTACAAAGTAGTCTAAGTAGCTATAGTGTAAACAAAGCTAAAATTCCTACAGGTCCCATTTTTCCATAATATGATTTCTTGTCATTCTTTTTCTAGCATTAAAAGAAATGACTGTGCTTTTAAAATATGCCCTAAACTGTATAGTACCCTCTTTTAGACAAATCTCCATGTATTTAATGTTTGGTGTTTGAAGTCTCAAAAGCTACATTGGCACAACAAATGGAATAGATGGTTTAGATACTGTTGGGTTCCTACCGCACAGATAATCCAGTCTATTTTAGGACTGATATGTATGACGGTGTTCCTAAAGTAACCCCAGTAAGCTGAACAATGTCAGAGAGCTACTGTAGAGTACAGATTCACTCATGGAGTTCTAAGAAAACGCATCATTTCTTGTAACTAATATTTAAATACTGCATAATTCAGTATCTAAACTATTAATATGTTTCAAAATGTGTGTGGGTTTAAAAAAAAGTGTTTTCACCATCTTCCTCTTCAGAGTCATCCTCATGTGTATCCTCTTCAGCACTGTCAGCCTCCTCTTCCTTATCTCCTTGAGTTGCTTTATCGTCATCCTCTTCTCTTGGTTCCTCCTCGTCATCTTCCTCATTATCAGCTGGGACTTCCTCAAGAACCTCCTCCTCACGATCTGCATCTTCATCTACCTCCTGCTCGCCATTCTCATCTGCATCTTCATCCACCTCCTCCTCACCATTCTCATCTGCATCTTCATCCACCTCCTCCTCACCATTCTCATCTGTATCTTCATCCACCTCCTCCTCACCATTCTCATCTGTATCTTCATCCACCTCCTCCTCTTCATCTTCATCTGCTGCATATTCTTCTTCAGATTCTTCCTCTTCTGCATCATCCTCATCAGAAGCCTCACCTTCCTCTTCCTCTTCCTCAACATCTCCTTTCTCCTCAGCATCATCTTCCTCTTCCTTATCAGCCTTGTCATCTTCCTCCTCAGCTTCCTCCTCTGCTGTCTCCTTCTCATCCTCCTGTTCTTTTTCATCTTTTTCTTCTTCCACTTGTTCATCAGTCTCTATCTCATCATCATCTGAGTCTTCATCATCTTTCTCCTCTTCTACATGTTCATCATCTTCCTCAGTGCCATCACCACCCTCAGCTGTTTCAGCTTCTTCAGCCAGAACCTCCTCAGCATTTCTAACGTGGAGGCTTTTCTCCATTTCATTCAAGTCTTTGGCACTTACTACAGCAGAGAACAGCACCTGGGTTGAGCACAGCAGCACAAGCAGGAGCCTTACCACCCAAAGTTTCACAGGTTCCATCTCGGAAGAAATGCAGCTTTGGAACTTGAGGACTGTCTCACTCTTTTCACTCTATTCTTCCACCAAAAACCAAAACAGCCAATGGCTGCTAAAGCCGCAACTGATTTAGGCAGAGTGTTCAGGTCTTTTTCGCAGGCTTCCGAGAGACGGGGTGAAAATAACTGTGCTCACAGAGAGCAGAGTGCCAGCCTTGTGCTGAGAACACAAGAGGACACAGTGAAAATACGACTGTGTGTGCGGTGTAGCTATGTTGCTATATGTAAGTGAGTGACAGAGGCACATGTCTAAGAAGAATGCTCCTGATGCCCTTAACACAGAGCATTAGAGAGGTGGGTGTATGCCTTTGGTGGGTGGGGGAGGGGGCTACTGAACTGCAAGAGGGTGGGGGAAAAAAAGCAACTAAAAAAATAGAAAGCTTAATTGCAATAATTAAATAATTTGAAGATGAAGTTTTGGTTCTATACACAGCTTTTGTTGTCATAGTTCCCAACCTATTCAGGAAAGAAGTAGAACCTCATAGATATACTGTGTGTGCGTTTCATTAGATTAATGGTTGGTAGGTTTTTGGGGAACTCTTCTCACTGTCTCCTATATATTTTAATGCAAACAATAACCTTTCCAACACACTCTACACAGCAAAATTCATTTCTTCTTGCCAGTCCTGAAGCAATTGAAAACATGTCAATATGATTTATGGCACTCATGTAAATACAAGGAAATGGAAAGCATGGCACTGTGAACATATTGTGCTTTCCAAAATAGTCATTTGAACAACTGAATGTTTGTACTCATATTTTATTTTTCTTACTTTGGAGCCAGCGGGAAGAGAACACTTACATTTAGGAGCATTATAAAAGTCTACACTCACACTGCCACAGTCAGCTACAATACAGAGTAGCCAGGCTGAAAGCGATGACACTGCCTCTAAGTGTGAACTGCTCCTCCTGCAACTGACAGGTGGCACGGCTAACTCTTTACAGTGAAGGCTCCTTCAATAGCTTGTTCCAATATGTAACCTTCAATGGAGCCATGGTGGACTGAAACGCAGTACCAGCATGATAGTTCTGTCCAACTATCACACTCCCACGTTGTGTACATAATTTAAATGTATTTATTGATGGCAAATGGGAAAGTTTATTTCAAAAAGTTCACTTAAATTATAACATTCAAAAACATTTTTATTATTATCCTTTATTTATTCAAGTAAATAAAGAGACTAAAGAGACATTTGCATAAAAAACAAAACTCAACAGAAACCTACATTTCACCCTTGGGTTCTTTTCCCTGTAGGGTTAAGTAACCACACAGGCCTGACACAGTGGAATGAAGTTGACTTTGATAGGACTGAACAACATCTAAGACAGACCAAAGAATTTCAAGTATTTGTACTAACAAAGAAGCTGAACAATAGATAATTGTGTATTTGCAAAAAAAACAAACTCAACAGAAACCTACATTTCACCCTTGGGTTTTTTTCCTTGTAGGGTTAATTAACCACACAGGCCTGACACAGTGGAATTTGTTCACTCAATCAGCATTTTGATTTTGTGCCAAGAATTAGATAAGAGAAGGAAAAATTTTTATATAGTGCAGTCATGTGAAAAAGGGCGCAGTTCTTTCAGTTCTAAGAGTTTATGTATCAAATGTATAAAATGATGTAATCTTTAAAAATCTCTGCAATTATTTAAACAATCCAAATATCTACACTTTGGTCTCATCTGTTCCAGAAGTCTTGTGGTATGTTCAGATGCAACTTAAGCAATGGTGCCATGCTCCTTAGAGAGAGAAGAGTTTTTTGCTTGCCTGGTAACACTTTCAAACAAGCATTGCGTTTTTTCTAATTGTTCTGCCACAAATTTTGACATTTGACATGCTCACTGAGATATGTAGAGTCTGTGATGTAGGTCTTGGATTTTGTTTTTAAATTTCTGTCACCAGTGCACAGAGATTCCTCCAGTTTCCTAGAATCTTTTAATGTTACGTAGAGTAACACTGAGAAACATTATTCTGAAATCGCTCAATTTGTAAACAGTTTTTTTTTTGGGTGTGTGTCCCGTTTGGATCTTTAGCCATCAGAATTGTTGCCTTAAGGCCAAGAAAGATGCCAAGCGGATTTATTTTACCAAGTGGATCATCACGGCCTTGCCACATTGGTCCATTTGATTGACCTTTATTATAATTATGAATTTATTTTATTTGCGGTTCCTACAAACGGGACAGACATGACTGGGGGATAGGACAGGGAGAAAGAATGAAAGAAAGAGAGGGAGAGAAAGAAAACCAGAGGGGAGAAGAGACGGTGAGAAAGGGGGGAAGAAAGAAAGAAAAACAAACCAAAACACCTGGATCACCTGGATGGATAAAAAAAAAAACAGAATAGAAAGCAAACAAAAAAGAGCAACATAATAAAAAGAGCACCTTCACAATAAACTAGCTAGCAGTAGATCACAGTAGATACTAAATATTAAACGATATACGGCGGAGCACCCCCAGACCCCCAAGCCTCCACGCCCGTCCCGAACCAACCCAGGGGCAGCCAGGCTACCAGGCCAGTAACCAATGTCCGCCAGCACAGACCGTCCCCCATCTCCGCTGTACGCAGCCGCAAGGAAAACACCATCTAAGAGCCCCCAAACAGTTTTTTGCTGACTGGCGAACCTATGCCTGTCTATACCTATACCTATGTTGTGTAGTGTAGTTTTTCTAAGATGTTGCATTTGTACAACAAGCCACAGCCCTACAGTACATGCTTTGATAAGAAACTATTTAATTCATGATGTGTCTGTTTGTCCAGGTTTTTGTACTGAATATGATTCCTGTACTTTCTCCACTCCTGAGGTGTGTCACAGTCAGTGTACTTATTATTACCAATCTTTGGCTGAGCTATGCTTGGCTAACTTTTCACCTAGCTCTCAACAACAAATTATTCTGTACTCATAGTAAAACTCAATTCATTATAGTGCATGAAAACTTTATTAAAAAGAACTATATTGCAGACATACAAATATGGCACATTATGCAATGTAACAGAATGCAAAAAGTATTAATGTGCTCTTAATATAACCCCTGACAGACACCATGACAGGAAATCAGACTTTAATGTAAAAAATTCGACGAGGAGGTTTGAATGTGCTTCCTTGTGCTATCACAACCCAGTTGAGGACAGTTGAGTAATGCTCCATCTGAAAAGAAAGAGCATAATGTCATAAAAGTCTAGAATAGAATAAAGTAAAGGTATTTTTGTCTCCTACTGGAGAAAATGATCTTGAAAAAGGAAACTGCATCATTAAAGGCATGCATGAGGCCAGCACAGCTTAGCTTAGTATAAAGACTGAAAGCAGATAAAACAGCTAGCCTGGCTCCATCTAGTGACCAAAATTCACCTTCCAGCCCTGCTAAATCTGATCTTTTATGTCTACTTCACTTAAAACGTTTTAACTGATACACAACAAACCCACTGGCTGTTTTTAAATAAAGTTAGCATTACTTACCATAACCCACATTATTTCTGACCTCAGCCAACCCAGATTTTCCCATGTTCCACTTTTCTGTTATTATGCTAATCAAAGCTAACCTGCTATGTAGTCGTGTAACCTCTATATAAAATACTTTGACTGTGCAGACGGGCTCTTTCACAACATATGTATATATCTACATATGTATGAGGAATTAGTAAAAGGGTACTGAATGACAAAGTGAGAGCTTCAGAAAAATGCTTCTGTTTTACCTGAGCCTGTAGTCTGTGTTCAAACTCTCTGCTTTCAGTCAGATGTTTAAGCATACCATCTACCCGATATCAAAAAAATACAAAAATGCATTTACTTCACGATGGATCCACAATGGAATTTTGCCACTACAGCGGTGCATGAAGGTGTGCTCACTTGGTAGATATCTGTTTGAGCCTTTCAGAGTCGCTGCTTTTCAGGATCTTGTTTCGAGCAGTCGGGAAGTCTTCCTTCGGAATTGTTTCCCATGTTGATAATCTGTTAGCTGCCTTTGTTTCTAAGTCTAACACTGATACAAAAACAAAATGCTAACCTTTCAATTTAGCCTTCATGTTTTCATCAAAGCTAAGCTGACGTCAGTGAACAATGAACCCTTTCTCATTTAGACGCTTCAATTTTGAATGAT